TCCTGATCCCGCAAGTCCTTCTCCTGTAATCCCACCAGAGCTCTGAGGTTCAGGATGTGCCATTCACAGCTTTAATGAAGTGGCTGTGAGGTACAGGCACGTGGCGGCCTCTCACTGTGCCACGTCAGGGCTGTGTTCTCATCCCTCTTGCTCCTGATCCTCTTCTGCCCCGTCTTGGCCGAGACCAGTGGTGGTGGGCTCTGTGGTGCTGGTCCCACAGCTCCGGGGCTGTGGCATCACCGTCCTGCCGCAGAGTGAGGAACAGCCCGGCTTCCCGCAAGAATTCCCGTCCACCTTCGTGTCAGTGGGGTGAGCAAAGCCACAAACAGCCCAGGGCTCCCCGGTCCTGCCTGACCGGGTCTGCGAACGTTCGGGTGAGGCTGGGACAAGGAGGCAGCTGAGGAGCAGCGCCTGAGCGTCTCTGCTCCGTGCCCGAGGGTGAAACAGCTCACGGCTGCTTTCTGGATCATTTGCTTTGAGCAAAATACGGTGATACGGGAAAATCTCCGAGCTGCTGAGCAGACAACAGAGTTGGGGCACTCCCAACCCGCTGCGCTTCCCGGGAGAGCCGAGTACCAGCAGCAAACGGCTGCGGTCCCGTGCGCGGCGGCTCCTCTGCTCCATCACCTCCGATTATCTCGTGCCGTGTCCCGCTGGCTTTGCTCCATTCGTCTGGAAAACGGGGCAAAACTCGGGGGTCAGAATCCGGGAGAGGGGGATGAGCCCGGGCGGAGTTTGCCGATGATCCAGGTGAGGATGCTCAGCCGGGCCCCTGGGAACACCAGCGGGATGCCCGAGGTGAATCAGTGCTCGGAAAGAACGGATACATGCCAGCAGTTTCGAACGCTTATAAGTTATTTAGGAGCCTGTGTGCCGCTTTAAAAAGTGATTTGCATAAATCACTCAAGTGTCTTACAGAATTTGTAAATGCACCGGCTCCGTTGGGGACTGTGGGGGATCTGCTGGGGCTGGGAATGTTGCTGGGAACCAGCCCCAAACCAGGACTATCTGGGGCCAGTGGCTGTGCCTGGTGCCTACACGCTGTCCCCAAGTTGTTTTTCCAGAGCCAGATGGACCCATGCAGTTTGTTTATTAACTGTCAAAAGCTCCAGGAAATGTCTGGTATCAGTAATTCCCGCGCCCGGTCTCTCCAGCTGCGTTGGAGATGCTTCTCACTCCGGCTCCGTGATTATCCACTAACGCTGCGCCACGGGGGAGCTCCGCTCGCCACGGGGCTCCGGGCTTGTGACTGCTCTGGGGCCGTGTGGGGCCAGCGCTGCCTTTGGGGTCCCCTGGAAGGGGCTGGAGCCTGGATCCCGTGGGGCTGGGAGCCAGGGGGAGCAGGGGAGCAGCAGCAGCCCCCGGCTGAGCGCCCCTGAGCTACCGTGCTCATCCCTCCGGGGTCCTAGGGGTGCTGCAGGACACCCCAGCATCCACCAAGAGGGCGGGTTTGAACCACACCAGGGGTTTTGTTTCAAGGGGAGAAGGCACCCGTGGTGGCAGGAGCAGAGCTCAAACACCCCCAAGCCGGAGCGAGGGCTGAGCAGGGAGCCCAGGGGTGCAGAGAGGTTTTGGGGGTGCAGAGGGGCACACATTGGGGTTTAGCAGAGTCTGAGGGGCACAGCAGGATCTGGAGGTGTCTCGTGGGGTTCACCAAGGCACAGTGGGGTCAGAAGGAGGGTGGGGAGGCTCAGCAGGGAGCAGTGGGGTGCTGTGGGGAGCAGGATCTGTTCTCCATCACAGGAGCTCCTGCACTGCTCTGGAGATGGGAGAAGGAGAGGAGGAGTGTGGTTGGGGTTTGCTGGGACTCTGCAGACCCTCCCCGCTCCCTCCCTGTCTCTCTCTCTGTGCTCCCGGTGTTTCCAGGGCAGAGGATGCAGAATCCAATGCAAAAGGCAGCGGCATGATCTCCACGTCAAACTCAATTCTCCCTAGTGCCAGCTCAGCCCTGGAGCCTCATGGAAATGGTCCAGAGGTCTTAATCCTCTCCAGCTCATCGAGGCTGTCCCATGCACGCTGCCCAGGGCTCTGGGCTCGCCTGCCGTGCCCCGGAGCGGGATGGGGACATGGAACTTGGGATGGGGCTCTCCCTGGCACGGGTTCACATGGTGTCAGAAGGAAAAGCTGTGAAAGCACATTGTGCCACGCCAAGGCACCAGCACAGCCAGGCACAGCCACTCCTGTCCCCCCCTGGCTGCACCGACCACCCAAAAGGAGCTTCCCAAGCACGGGGCACCTCCCCGAGGTTTTGTGCAGCCACAATTCTCATACTGAGGTGTGGAAAGGAAGCTCATCCTCTGCGTTTCTCCTTCCTCCCTGGGATTTAGAGCCCAGAGCCAGCACTCATGGGCCTCTCCCTTGCTGGCTGAGGCGCGGATCCCTGTGGATGTGCGAGGCTCCAGGGAACCTCACGGGGAGGGAGGAAGCGCGAGCAGGGAGCCGGGGGGAGCTGCGCGTTCCCGCAGCAGGGGGAGGGCTCCAACTCATAAATAATGAAGGAGGAAGAGTGAAACATTGATCTGTGCTGCTAATGAGGGTGTCAGGGAGCGTGGCTCCAAAACGGGGAGACAGGGAGAGCCCTCTCCTGCAAATTCTGTGTCCTGCCTGTCCCACCCCTGAGTGAGGCTCTGGGCACAGCCCTGGGGATGGGAACATCTCAGCCCATGTCCCTGGGGGCTGTGTCGTGACAGGGGGTCAAGATGTGCCCCCCAGCTTTGTGTTTGCCTCTCCAGGCTTTAAGGTCATGCCAGGGTTTTGGGGAGGAGGTGACAGCACCTCCCTGAGCGTCCCTGTCACTGTCCTGGGCTGGACAGGAGGGAAGCTTTGGTGGACACCAAGCACCACCCTGGTGCTGGAGGGGCTGTGGAGAGCCAGAGCAGAGCTGGGGTGGGCCAATGGTCCCCCCTTGTCTTTTCAGAGGGCTCACTCTGCAGTATGGGATGAGTCTGAGCCTGGTCAGCTCCACCAGAGTGCCCCTGTACCCTGGGGGGGACACGGAGGGGGATGAGCAATGCCAGGACCCCCGATGTGGCTGCCGATGACACAGAATGAAAGAGGAGGTGGGAAGAGCTCAGATCATCCCAGGCTGGGCTCCTCCACGGCATCCAGCACGAGCTCCTCGTGCCAGGGGAGCCCTGTCCTGGCTGCAGGTGGTTCTGTGAGCTGACCCTGGGCTGCTCCGGGTGGGCGCTTTGGGGGGACACGGGCAGTGTCCCCAGCACGAGGGGACCCTGTTGCGGTGCCTCTGCTCCCCAATCCCGGCAGCAGGACCCGGGCAGGAGGCGGCTCCTCCTCTTTTCAGGTCAGCCCAGGTATTTCGGCTCCGGCAGCCCCTCATCTGCATTCGCCGCGGCTGCCCCGAGCCCTCCCTTCTGCCAGGGACAGATAAGGCGGCACCGCGGCGTGTCGGGCCCTGGAGCTCCATCAGCATGCGGCCAGCATCGCCCCCCGGCCGGCCCCGGGACCCCCGCCTGGCCCCACGGACCCCCGGCCGGCCCCACTCATCTCCAGGCTGTCCCCATCTTGTCCCCTGCTTGTCCCCAGCTGCCCCAGGCTGTGGGGTCTGGGCAGCCCCCAGATTCCCCCTGGCTGGATCTGTCTCCATCCCCTCTGGATCAGTGAGAGAAGAGGGGCAGCCCTGGATGCAAAAGCGTCCCTGGACACTGAAGGGGCTCCCCAAAGTGCAGAGGGCCCCCAGCCCCTGTGGGCAGCGTGGGCTGATGGTGCATGCCCAGGGGCTGGACCCCAGGCCCCCCAGCCTGGCCAAGGCCCCCAGGCCCAGAGCAGCAGCGAGCCTGGCTCAGCCCCTGGAGAGAGAGCAGCAAGGCAGCAGGGATTTACTGGTGAGACTATCCCCTAGAAGCCTCTGAGAGTGCCAGGAGCCCATCCCAGCACCATGCCAGCCCCTGCACACACAGATCTCCCCATGCCGGTCTGCCAGGGGACCCCAAAGAGCAGCAGAGACGTAGCAGAGAGCCACAGCTTCCTCTAATCAAATCCATGAAATCATCCCAACCTGCTCGCGAGGAATAATCCAGGCAGGAATAACAGAGCAGCTGCGAGTCTGTTTGGCTTTTGCCGGTTGAAGGGGATGCAGAACACAGGGATTTCGAACCCAACAGATGAAGGGAGGGAGCTGGGATGAAGGTCCCTGAGGATGGTTCGGCGCAGAAAACGCGACAGTGCCCTGGGAAGAGCCGGCGTCGGAACCCGGCTCAGGCTGGAGCTGGCCCTGCTGGAGGGGATCCAGCCCCCTCCGGGCTGCAAAGTGCCTCCATTTAACAAATAAAACGCCTCATGGCTGACAACAGACACCTGCTCGTGGAAAGAGCCCATGACGGGAATTTAATGCCGATGATTAAAATCACCCGAACCGTGCCGGGACCTGGGTGGCAGCTCCACGTAAACCCAGCCACGACACAAAGGGGACAGCCCTGGGCTGGTGACGAGGATGGGGACCCCGAGGAGCGCAGGGCCACGGGCTCCAGCTGCTCGGGAACAGCCACCGCGGCTGCCGAATTGATTAGGCAGCACCCGAATAGCCGGCACTGTTCCATTCCCAGCTGGATGGGGCCGGGCAGGCGCAGGGATAAAGGCTTTATTGTGTGCTGGATCCACCAGCACAAGAACAACCTCCATGGCAGGGCACAGCACGGAGCCGCTGGGACCCGTGTTCCCAAGGGATTCGGCCATCCGTGCTCTCCCTGCTTTCCCACTGGAGCCTCCTCACCATGGCAGCTTCCAGCCTGGCACAACCCTGCTTTGCAGAGCCCAAATGATCCTGGGGAGCTGCGCCCACGTGGGAGCAGCCCAGGGAGCTGAACGGAGCCACACGTGCTCCTGGGGACAAGCTGGACCTCCCCAAACCCAACAACACCCCCTTAGTGACGGTGCTGCCGGTCCTCTCCGAGCTGGAAGGAGGCAGGAGCAGCTACAGGTGGACAAACACCCTCCTTGCATGGGGGAAAGGTGGCACTGGGCAGGGCCCACGGGTCACTCACCACTTTGAAGTCTTCGGGGGTGCATTGCTCCCCACGGAAGAAGCAGGACAGCAGCATCTCCCGGATGTCGTGGCCAGCCCGGTCATAAAACTCCAGCATGTTGAAAGGTTTGGGCTTGAAGTTTCGGAAGTTGGCCTTGTCCTGCAGGATTTCCAGCTGCTTCTCATCGGCTGTCTGGATGTCTGGGATCTCATATCTTGGGGGAAAGAGCAGGGAGAGGCTCAGGCCTGGCTGTGGTGGCTGCTCCCGCTGGCAAAGGCTGCTTGGGGTTGCCAGGAACTACCCCTGCATGGGCTCAGCACAGCCCCACCTTGCACGTGGCATTCCCAGAGCATCCAACAGCGCAGAGTGGCCCAGAGGCACATGAGAGATGGCAGAAGGATGGATGAGGAGAAGCTGGGCATTTGCCACATTCCAAAGCCATCCCACTTGCCCCGCTGCTGGTCCAGCAGCACCAGCCCTGGTTGAGGCCACCCAGCCACCTGCCCTGTGTGGTGTCCTGGTGAGGTGGTGACCTTGCTGGGTGAATGTGCTGGCTCTCAGCTCTGTGTCATGCCTGAAAACCCCTCCCTGGGGCAGGAGTGGGGACAGCAGTGAAGCCCCTTGGCATTAGCATGGGCAGGGAGTGCACCAGGCTCTTGACAGTGGCTGGGAGCCGCCACAGCCATGGGTGAGGGGCTTGCCCGAGGCATGGCACCATCCTGGGCTGTGGGTCACGCTCAGTGGCTTCACCTGCTGGCACCGCTGGCCTCACTGTGTGGGTTGGTACCCAGGACATGGCACTGGAGCCAGGAGTGATGGCACCCAGGACATGGCACTGGAGCCTGTATCAACCCCACAAGACCCCAGGGGGGTGGCCCTGGCCTTGTTGCATGTGCTGCACACTGGGGATGGGAGCTGTGTGTGCTGGAGCCATCTGGGGCAGCCCGGTGTGGGAGGCACACACCCAGGAGCATCAGCAGGACCTGGTGGCTCTCAGCTGCAGGACCTGGTGGCTCTCAGCTGCATCCAGACTAACTGAGATGTCACCTGGGGCCACCTCAAGACACCGGCACCCACCTGTTATTGAGCAAGGCCAGGAGCTCTCCGGCGTGGTACAGGTCATTCTTGGTCACTCGGCTGAAGCGAAACTCGTTGAGGTTGCAGAAGGTGACGGCGGGGAACGTGAGCCTGGTGGCCGCCACCTCGTCCAGCTTGGTGACGTGGGGGTACAGGAAATAGTACTGGATACGGTTGGTGCAGACGAGGGCGAGCAGAGCCAGTGAGCCCAGGAAGCAAAGTGCCCAGACCACGCGCTTCAGCGACAGCCGCTCGTACGAGAAGATGTGTGAGAGCCCGTGCAGGGTGGAGCTGCTGGCGAAGGCCTGGATGCTCACCGGCTGCCCGCTGTCCACCTCCTCCTCGTCCACTTTCAGGTCCATCATGGTCAGTGCCAGCACGCCGGGGTGGCCACTCTGCCAAGAAGGGAGCCCGTGGGTGCTTCGTGGGTGCTGAGGGTGCCCAGCCCACGGCAGCCCCGGGCAGGGACGCGCCCGGCAGCGCCCGCGAGGGGCAGATGCTGCGCTGTGCCCTGCTCTTGCCCCCGAGCCTACATACATACATATATATATATATATATATATACACAGACATGCATATATATATATATAAATATATATATATCTATACATATATACATATATACATACATTTATGTGGATGCAGCCTCTTGCATTTCCTCCCCTCCCACCTCCTCCCTGCCCTCCCCATCCCACGGCAGGACTGGGGTGCTGTGCCCCCCCCGCCCCCGCCTTATCTCCCCCTCCCCTCCCACCTGCCCCCGCTCCCCCTCCACCTCCCACAAATGGCACCGGCGCATCGACAAACAGATGAAGGAATCGGGGATGCAAACCTGGAATCAGGGCCGGCGGCCGTGGCTGGAGCTGGGTTCGTGTCGCTGCCGCTGCGCCGTGGGAGCCGGGGCTGGGATGAGCCTCTCGCCGCCGGCTGGGAACACGGGAGCGGGAGATGTGCAGGCACCGAGGGTGCTGAGGCACCGAGCCCGGCAGCGGCGGGTGAACCGGAAAAGAAGGGGGGGGAATAAAAATAGCCTCGTTGGTACCTTGGTGCAAGCGTGGGAGCGGGGATGCGCCGGGGCCTCGCTCAGCGCCGCGCGGGGGGACCGCAGGCGACCATCGCTGGAGAGGAGGCAGCTGCCGTGTGCGAGGAGATAAGAGGAGGAGAAGGAAGGCGAGCAGGAGGCTGCTTCCCTGCCAAACACATGGATACCTCCCCCTGTGGCTATCTGGGAGCTGGTGATTTCTTCAGATGCATAATCCGCATGAAGTCATTGTCTGAGCGCTGGTGGGGCCGGAGGCCGCGGAGCGGTGAGGGGTGCCGCAGGCCGGTGGGCAGCGAGGAGGAGGAGAAGGAGGAGGAGGAGGAGGAGGAGGAGGAGGAGGAGGGAGAGGCGCAGGAGCGGCGCTCCAGCGATTGCAGGCGCTGGCAGGGGCTGTTGGTGCTGCTGCCGTGTGCATGTGGGTAATGTGTGTGTGCGTGTGCGTGTGCCGCTCCCATCCCCCAGCGCCTTCCAGGGATGCTCCGGCTCCTCGCTCCTCGCTCCGCCGGAGCCCCCCGGCCCCCCGCCACAGCCCTGACCCGTCTCTCCCTCTCCGCGGCCTCCCCCGCCCTTCAGCCTTCACCCGTGGTGGTCCCAGCGGCGGGGCGGGTGCTGGGACACCCCGGCCTTGCTCCTTTTTGGGGGGCACCGGTGGCCTTCCAGCTCTTTTCTGGCCGTGGGGAGCGCGTGTGTCCACTCGAGTGTCCACCCCGGGCTCAGCCCGTGCGGCCCCGCTCTGCTGCCCGCGGCTGGTCCCTGTCACGCCTGTCACGATGACAGGGACTGACCCTGCTGGAGGCTCCGGGCCTCGCTCAGGACACGCCGCCCCTTTCCCAGCACCGTCCTTGTGCCGCTGTCCCCGGGGCAGGAGGCACAGGGTGCTCTGCTCCTCCCCGGGGCAGAGCGGGGGGGGTCGCACAGCTCTGCCCAGCTCCCCCCAGTGCCAGCACATCTCCCACTGTCCCCGGCAGGAGCGGGGTGCCCCCGTCACCCAGGGTGAGCCCCCCTGGCAGCGGCTCTGGGTGCGGAGGCTGCGGCAGGCGCCCGCCCACTGCTCCCAGTAAGGCGGCTGCAGTCAAATGGAAAAGGATGCTTCAATGTCCTTTACAAGTGTGATGCTGGAAAGGGACAGCCAGACCCCAGGGTTGTCACAAGCTGTGTCCCTGCCCAGAGGTGCCTTCCCAGCGCCGTGTCCCCACCTGAACCGCGGCAAACGGGAGCGTGGGCATTCAGGGATACAGCAGGGTGAGGCGCACGGACCCTGTTCCCAAAATCCCACGGCTTGGGCACGCTTGGTTTGGATCTTTCCTGGAGCATCCTCTCCCCTGCCCGAGCAGGAGCCCTGGCTTTTACAGCGGGAGCTGCTCGGGAGCAACACAGGTGGGGCACAGGGACACCCCCTGAGGCAGTGCCCCCCTTGCTGGGCTCAGGGACAGCCCTGCCAGTGCTTGGGGACATGGCTACGAGGCCGGGAGAGCAGCATTAGCATTCCCAGTTGGCACCAGCTCTGCCTTTCCCCTCCCCGCTCCGTTCTGCAGCCGGCATCCCTCCTTGCCGGGCCGACAGCCTGAGAGCTGTCCCTCCATTAGCGCTCCTGATGGGAGCCCGGAGAAAGATGTGCTGCTGGGATAAGGGAGAAGGACGTTTAGGAAGTGCTTGTCCCTCCCTCCCGCTCCTTCTTTTCTTCCAGATGAGAAGTCACTCTCTGCAGGGATTTTATTGACAGCAGCGGGCAGGGGGCGAGGAGGTCTCAGGCTGGAGCAGGTGAGCACCTGGACGTTCTTGGGAGTCCTTGATTTCTACAAGACACCCCAGGAAAGAGGCTCTGCTGCATCCCCGGGATGGAGAATGTTTCCTGGGGTGTCTCGTGGAGCTTTTGGGGCCCCAGAGACCCAAAGGACCCTTTTCTACAGGAGCCAGGGAGGAGGAGAACGGCCAGAGGAAACTTCCTCACCGCTGGCCCTCATCCAGGGAGAACGCAGCTGCATCCTTGGAATCGAGTGGAGCGTGGGGACTGGGAGCGTTTCCGTGTTATTTTTTGGGGAAGCCACGTGAGGCTTGTGTTAATTCCTGCTGGAAGAGACATCGGAACCAGCCGAGGGCTGTGGGATGGGTGAGGAGGTAACAGCCCCAGGTGACAACTGCAAGACACCAAGGTTTAAAGGGGCGGGTTAATGAGGGGTGGTGAGGCTGTGAGGGAGTCCTTCTGTTAAAAATGGGTGCTCAGAGCACAGATTCAGTAACCAGGGCTCCCCTCAGCGTGCCCTCAGATCTAATTAGAATGGAAAAAGTAATTAAGGGAAGGTGCTACAGAGCTGAGGCTCCCAGCGCAGGCTCTGGCAGACAGGCAGGAATCTGGGAACACCTCGGGAGTTTGGGCCAAGGGATAACTCAGGGCCTGGGGCTCTTTTCTCACCTTCCCAGCAGAGCTTGTCCCTGCTCCACCATACACACCCCAATTACGGAAACCAGCTCGCCTCCTGGTTCTTGGAAGAGCGTCCCCAGGGCAAGGATGGATAAGTGATGCTTTTCCACGCTTTTTTGGTGTCATGCCGTGCTATCCCTCCCTCCACGGAGGCAGCCCTGGATTGCAAATCTCTTCTTTACCTGCATCCACTGCTGTCCAGGAGGCAAATTAATTAATAATGGTCAATTAGTGCTGTGGGTGCTGGAGGTGCTGGGCACCGCTGTGTCCCTTCCTGGAGCATGAGGCTCTGGGGGTGCCTGGCTCTGCAGTCCGGGGCTGTATTTGTGTATTTAAGAGATTTAATTCAGAAGTCACCCTTGGCATGTGGCAAAGCTGCAGAGGCAGCCCTCTCCAGGACATCCAGGACAAAAATTCCAAAGGAGAGGGGGAAAAGCTCCATCCCCCCATAAACGTGGACTGAGTGATGTGTAAAATATCTTCACAGCCGATCTCTGCTAATGGGTTGCAAATTGCTTCCATCAGCTCTGGCATTACAGATTGCCGTCTGAAATTGCTTCCAGGAGCCCATTTTGGGGCCAAACACTTCCTAGCTTGGGGAAATAACCATCAGCATCATTAGCGACAGTAAATTGTATTCAAATGAGGCACCGTGGGGCCTTATTAGGACTTCTTATGTGTGCCTTTCTCCCTGGTGGGGCAGCTCCAGCGTTAGGGACTCTTGCACCTGCACAGAATCCTTTAAATGGAAAAGACTTCCAAGATCATCCTCTGACTGCCAAGGCCAGCACTGAGCCACGTCCTCAAGATGTCCTTTAAGACATCTATGTGTCTTAAATCCCTCCAGGAATGGTGCCTCCACCACTACCCAGGACTGCCTGGGTTTGACAACATTTTCCATGGAGAAATGTTTCCTGTTTTCCAGCTCCAGGTGTTGGGTACCTGGAGGAAAAACTGGTCTTGCCATTAAAGATGGGCAAAGACGGCCTCTGCCAGTCCCTGCTGGTCATTCCCATTGCTTTGTGCTGCTCCTCGAGGCAGTGCTTTGCTCCAGGTCTGAACCAAGAGCAGCTCCGTTGTCTCCACAGAGATCCTGGTAGAGGTCCAGGGTTTCCTAATTCATGAGCACATCGTTAATTATCTGCTGGAAGCCAAAGCCTCGGCATCTTGGTGAGACTAACGAGGCTATTAACAGAGCTGCTTCTTGCCATGCTGGCTTGGGCTGGCCCCGAGCGCAGTGCCGTCCCAGGCGGGTGAGCAAAGGCAGAGACAAGCTTTGTATCACATCCCCTGGCACCTGTTTGCCTTCCAAACCACATCTGACCACTGCTGAGACCTTCCCAAAGGAAACCATCTGAATCCCGGGGACAGAGAACCCAGCACAGTCAGCTCGGTGAATCCGTGGGGTCTCTAAACCGAGCGCATCCCCAGCATCCACGTGGTGGTAGCTGGGGAAAGGTCACAGCCAGCCAGGGCGGAGGGTCGAGCTGCAATGCCCGGAGCTGCTGCTCCCAGGAGTTCCCCCCGGGGTTATCCTGAGTGAAAACAGCAGTGTTTAAACCCAGCAGTGGCCGATGCGAGCCGCTGGGTCACCGGGCCCCGTGAGCGGCGTCTCCGGGTGATTTATGCCGTGTTGTGCTGTGCTCTCGCTTGCACCCGCTTGGCTCTCCCGGCGTGAGGAGCAGCCAGTCCATTAAACACTGAGTCATCCTCAGCAGCATTTAATTTTGTGAGGGGCAGCAGTTTGGATAATTAAAGGCCTCCATGGCCAATGCCAGCGGCTGTGGAGAGCAGGGCTGATGGGGAAGGCGAGGACACCCGGCAGCACCGGTTAACCCGCCACCGAGGAGGTCCAGCTCTCCCTCCCTCCCTTCTCCCCCTGCATTTTGGGTTAGGTTTTAACCT